CCGCCGCCGCCGCGCGCTCTGCGCCTACAGAGGTCACTCTTCCTCGCCGAATGCCCGGCGCCGCTCGCCCCTCCCCCAGGCGCGGCCCCCCTCCGCCTCTCGCTTTCACCGACTGCCTCTCCGGGGGCTGCTTCCCCCCCGTGAGGATTTAATTTTTTTATTTCAATCTAGTTGAAAGAAATTCCCATGCACCTCTGCTGCGTTCAGCTCGGCCCACAGATCTTGCATGATTGTCAACTATTTGGTGTGTATCGGGAGGAAGATTCGAGACCCCTCTTTCGGAGGGAGAGCGGTAGAGCAATAATGATCTCCACCCGAGGTTTAGATATCAGTATCTTCTTTTCGTGGTGTGTTGGGGTGGGTGGGAGAGGTGGCTGGTGTTTCCTCGCCGGCCTGATGGTTAAGATGCGTCTGTTTTTCCCGAGCGGTGGCTGGATTTGCTCGGCCCGGCCTTCTCGGGAAGCCTGCCTCCTTGCACCGCCGTGCCAGGGTGTCGCTGCGGGACTGATTGCTCCCTGTTCCCAGCAGTAGAATTTCTTTTAAAATGCTCGTGATAACTGGCTTGCCTGCAGGACCAGGCGATGCGTCCCCTGGAAGGGGTCTCCTTGGCAAGTACGCAGCTGAACGCTAGCTTGAGAGATCTGAAAGATTTCTTCCTGGGGGAACGATATGAAAGAGCCTTTTTCTGAGTTTGAGGATGAATTAAAAAAAAAAAAAAAACCTGGCGCCAGGAGGTTGCTCTCCTTGGGGAAACTGCATGTTTATTTCCAGGGGGAAAGTTTCAGTCAGTAAACATGATGTGGCAGGGAGGTAATCAGATGCATTGAAGCCTCCCGTCAGTTCCTATGAACTGTGGAACAATTCGTTTGTAAGGAAGCGACCCTCGGTAATTAGATTTGTTTCATTCGGAGGTCAGCTTTTTTAGCAGGTGGTCGACATAGGGAGCACACAGCAGCTGTTTGGATACAGGGTCCAGAAAACCCTTTGTAAATTCAGCGTCTCCATAACTACTTTAATCACGTTGTGTGCTGCTCCCGGCCCTCAGAGTGCATGTAATAATCTCAAGAAGTTCTGTAGACAGATACATGAGCGGCTGTCCTGTTAGGTTACTGTCGTGGCTTCATGGGTCGGGCTAGAATCGGGTCAGTTGTAGCCATTTTGGTTGTTTAAAGTATTATTACTTCTTTAATTCAGCAGAGAACAGGAATGCCTAGCTTCCGTTTTGAACTAACATTTCAGTAGAACATTTTTTTCCAAGGGTGATATTTTTGCCCACATGAAGCCGTTGGATCTTTAAAGAAAAAAAAACATTAATTTTACTTTAGAGTAGCAGATCTCTATCTGTATTGGTATGTATTCTGAAATGAGCTGCAAAAAATGTGACTTGGTGAAAAAAAAATGTGTGTTGGTTTCTTATGTCTAGGGATGCCATTCCGTATGCATCCCATGCTGGTTAGTTAGCACAGCATTTTGCTTTTCCCATGTAATTTTTTCCCTACACAGCACTGAATTCCTGATATTGATCGAGTTGATACAAAAGAGAGGCTGGATAATATCCAGATAACGTATAATACATGGGCTTCACCACAGTCAGGCCCTGAATAAATACAGACCTGCCAGAGATTGATAAAATAAACTACAATGGATAGTGCTGTTTAAACAGTCCATTCAGTTACATATATAAGCCAGCCTGCCTTCCATTGTGTCTGAAATTCTTATTTTTGTAGGTAAACAAATGCACATTCAGCACTGATTGAATAGCCCCTTGAACTATGCTCCACAGCTTGCGTGTGGGTTAATCTTGTCGGTTTTAATATAGAGAGAAAAAAGCTCAAAGCACCAGGGGTGGAATTGTTAGTGCTCTCCCATCCACATTCCTCGCATTTTGTCAGGATGATAAACTGTAGGTAATGGACTGTCGTCGTCCTGGAGGACCACTGAGCCAGGCAGCGCACAAAGCCCAAGCTGAAGCAGTCTCTCCCAACATACTTGCTAGCCTTCTTTTCAGATGAGAATTTATTTGGGAATCGTGTGTCTAGGGACTGCACTTAACCTCAACAATTACAGTTTCAAGCCCCAGAAACAGGAGTGGGGGGTTAAGATGATTTGTTAAGCACTTGGTCTAAATCTTTCACAAAGCATGGCTGTTGACACTTGTCCTACTGATGCAAAGAAATGCAAATAACTGCCATGTTTCTGAATGCTTCCGACTCCCAAGCTGAAGCATGGGGACAGGTGAACTGGCCATTGCGACGGTTTCTGCGTACAGAGCCAGCCGAAGGACAATTGGTATACCAGTTACCGCAAGACCTCTTATCTGCAAACTTACTGAGGTGAATCCTTTGGCTGGTGGATCAGCGAGGCAATTACCTTCAGGCGTACCTTGCAACGGGAGCAACTACGTTCTCGCTATCTTTTCTTCCATGGACACCTCCCAGGTAGCTCCAGGAGCTTCCGTGTGACACCCAACTTCAAGCGAGGATGTTTCAAAGTGTGTTCACCTAGTGGGAAACTGTTGAGATCCAGCATGACTGCAGCGACGCGTCATGGAAATGGGAGTGGCAGGGAAAGGAAATGCAGATTGCAGACCCCAATTAAAAAAAAAAATACACACACACATTTAGGAGAGATATTCCTTTAACTTTTGATGAAAACTTTATTAAGATGCTTAATTGCAAATTACACAAAAAGAAGCATCCTTCTAAGAAAGATGATTAGAATGGTCCTCATAGCTGCCTAATCTCTGCCTTCCTTTGCTGCTGACATAAAGAACCTGTTTTTCAGGTCACTTATTAAACATCTACATAGATTTGCTTATGAGTTCACCCTTTGTGTAGCGGAGTAGAGCCTTAAAGAGGAGTGTTCAACTGTTTAAAATATTTTGATTAAAATATGCAGGACCCATAGAACTATAAGCTTCTGGGCAGGAATTAGCTCTTTCAGGAAGCGCTCTCCCCCACCCCCCTTTTAAAGGGGGGAATTAGAATGGGTCTGGGAGAGGAATATAAGAACAGCAAAGAAGGAAGGATAGCAAAAGGGACGTGTTCCGAACAGCTTGGAAAAACTCCTGTGGCTTCATTGTCTCTGTAAAGCCAAAGAATACAAAGACATAAGCAATTCAGCCCTTCTCCCATGATGGAAGATGTAAACCGTTGACATGCCTCCCCTGTTTAACTTGTTTAATTCTCATTTTAAATTCAGCACTATACTAGCTGTGTGAACTCTGAAGATTTCTTTAGTAATCCATTTTGTAGTTCCGAATCAAAAACAAAGTGAAAGGGTCTGACACAATTTGCTTTTATTTTTAGGCAAATCAACCCTGGTCATAGTTAATAAGGGGATTACAACTCAGACTAGGTCTTTACAGATGTGATGTAAATCAAGGGCAGAGTATAAAGAAACTGATCCCTTTTGATTGAAGTATGGTAAAAAGGCATAGAGAAACTAGCAGCAGTAATCTGATTGTATGGCAATAAAACCACCATTTTCTGTCTTTCAGATAAAAATAATGTGGTAAATCCATGCAGTTCATAAGATGTAAAGGCAGATAAAGGGTGAAGCCATGGCAACATATAGATTAGCTTGATGTTAGAAATGACACGTCTCTGAAAAGGGTGCAGAGACGAAGGCCCTTGCTCCAGGCTGTTGGGTATTATGTGAGAACCACGCAGACTTGGAAACTAGGATTAGGAAGTATGAAAGCTGTACTTGTGGTCTGGGATGGCTAAGGCCATAAAGAAAAGCTGCTCAGTTCTTGCTCATTGGTAGTGGATAATATGGCAAAGGTAGATTGCATTGACGGCCTTTTTTATAGATTGAGATTGGGACTGATTAAAACTTCAGATCACTGCAGTTGTCAGGGCCTGGGAGATTTTCCTTTTTAACTCCTGGCCTACAAGCCGCAGCCGTTCTGTGGGATTAACTGCACTTCGCTGTCCTGGCCTTAATCTATTTGGGCTTCAGGCTGGGACATGCTGGGAAGGAACAGAGACCAGAGGGGGTAGGTAGGGCTGGGGTTATCTGAAAAGAAAACAGAGACCTTTTGATTTCAGCCATCTTTTCAGACCCAGCTCCGTCTCACACCGCATGGGAGAAGCAAAGGTAAACAGGACACATTGTCCCTGTCTCTGGGCCACAGTGCTCTTCTGTCGCTTTTGTCTTTCCCATCCTGGAAAAAAAAAAAAAAAAAAAAGAATAAAATAAAAAAAAAAAATAAAAGAGCGAATTTAGTTTGAATTCAAATGAGTAGTAATCCAATATGCCAAAACCAGTGGGCTCTACGAGGTGTAATTTTCTTCATAAGTGTGAGTCTTAACCTTTGAGTTGAATGGGATAGGCTCCCTTCGTGTAAATTATAGGATTATAAAAACGCCAGGGCTGCCCAGCTTTCAAGTCGAAAACAAAAAATTCTCCATGCCGTTGAGTCTGATTGCCCTTTGTCCTGAACAACCTTGTAAATAAGCTGGACTTTTGTTTTTCCCTTCCACACTTTCCATTTCAGTCATTACACAAAATAAGCCATTGAAACCATGATTGGGTTACATGCAGAGTGACATCCGCAATTGGGTCAAGCCAGAAGGGAAATATTTGCTTGATTGCCTTCTACTTGGCATTATGGGAGAGTCGCAGCACTTCTTTGGGAAGTCCGAACTCTTAAGACAAGGCTGCAAACACCCTAAGAATCTATCTTGATGGAGTGGATCTTGGGTGAGTTTTACAAAGGGGAGTTCAGTGCTTTTTTTGTTTGTTTGTTTATTTTTTTAACAGCAACATAGGGTCCTCCTAGACTCTTGCGTTCTCTTACTGTCAGACGGAGATTGTCATGAAATCCCTAAATGTTCTATTGTAGACCCATTTTGTTGATTTTTGTTCCTCGTCCTCAGCTGACTTGGCTGTTTGGCGCTACAGATATATTATATTTATTGCTGTTTTCTCACAGCTCTGAGAATTACTATAGGC